CGCCGGATTTGATTATCAAATCTTGTATCATAAGAGAAATTTGTGTAATGATTTTAGTGTATCAACCTTTTTGCACCGGACCATATTAATATTTTATATTTTATTAAATTAATATTTTTTTTATGTTTTAAACAAATTTGCTTATTTTACAATTTAAGAGATAAGTAAAATTACTATTAAATAATATAAAAAATTATATTAATAATAATATAGAAATTAAAATAATATTATATTATTATTGATTTTATTAAATAATTTATAAAATATATTTATGTATAATGCAGGAAGTCTATACTAAACAATATAAATATAATACTTAAAAATCTTTCAACTTTTTAAAAAAATGAAATTTAAAAAAAATAAACTGGTAACTTTATTCTTTGAGATAAGCTCTATTAAATTACCAGTCAGTTTTCAAAATAAGTTCTATATAAAAAGTTATAGGCATTTAAAATTGAATAATTTTCATATGATTTTTCTGAATTTGAAACATATATTATTAATTAAAATTTATGATAATTTAAGCTAGTATTATGCTAATTAATCATAATGTCAACCTAAATTATTGTAATTTTAAAATGATACACAAAAAAAAAAGATTAATATCTCATTTTTCATTGGTTAATTATTAATCATGTGATATAAAATTCACAAAAAATTTTGAAACATTATTAAGACTTTGGCCTCATATAAATCATATATAATAAATAAATATTTTGCTTTTTAAGTAATTATATATTTATTTATTATTTTTTATTATTTAAACTTTCATTAATATATTATAAAAAATATTCATAAAATGTATTATTATTAGATAAGGTAGTTTACATTAAAATAATTATAGATAATAATTTCTTTACTTTATTTTTACATTATATGATTTTTAAAAAAATATTTGTAAGAAAAATAAAATTAAAAAGTTAATGATATTAATTAATTATATACATTTAATATATTACAAAAATTTTAATAATATAAATAATATGAAAATTATAAAAAAATTAGATTTAAAATATTAAAATTTTATTATTTAAACATATAATTTTTAAATTTTATATATTATGCTAATTTATAAAAAAAAATATAAAATAAATAAAATAATTTTTTTAATAATTTGCTATTAAAATTTATACAATATATATATTTTCTTTTATAAATTTATTATAATTAATAAATTATCAAATTATATTATTAATACTTTTATTTTAAAATAATGATTTATCTTAACTTTTGCATATTAATTTATATATATTATTTTATTAAAAGAATAATATGATATTTTTTTGGGATCTTTAATTTTAATAATTTTCAAAAGAATATGATATGTTAAATAAGAAAAGAAGTAAACATTATTTTTTTTAATTAATAAATTATTAATGAAATTTATGTAATAGATCAATTGGTAAAATAAACTAACTAAAATTAATACCAAAGAAAATTTTCGAGATAATAGTAGAAAAATTACAGCAAATTTTAATATAAATAAAATTCTAGCACAATGAATAATTTTCACTTCAAAATACATTTGTATTAATTGTTTATAATATACAAGGCATTTGTGTGTCAATCAAATATTTTAAAAAGAAATATACAGATAAATATCCCTTTTTTTCGTTAAATCTTGAATACAACTTTAATACATCCATCTAACTTTTTTTCAAAAATATTATAAGCCATTTCACCATCCGACAATTTTAGCGTATGAGTAATAATCTTTTCGAAATCAAATTGCTTAGAAAGCGCAAATGGAATCGTCTTTGTTAACATCTTTCTTACTGGACATCGTCCTGACTTATATGTAATGTTTTTATTGTACCCACTAATCATAATAAAAAATATATAATGTTAGATTTTCAATCAAAAAAAAAGAAAAAAAAAAAAAACAAAAAAAGATAACATAGTTACTCATTTGGACCAAAAGGAAAAGTTTTTGAATTGTGAACACCAACACTAGATATCACTCCGCCGGGTCTAAGGAGATTAAATGCTAATTGAAGCGCTGTAGGATTACCCACAACCTACAAAGAAATAAAAAGATAAATATTTGTTTTAATATATAATAAAAACGAAAAAAGCTTAGTTTTATACCTCCAATACGACATCAGCACCCCTTCCGCCAGTTACTTCCTTGATCGTTTCCACAGGATCACAATTAACAAAGTTCATAGTAGCTGCGCCAAATTCTTGAGCAATTTTTAATCGTTCCTCAACACAATCAATAACGAAAACAAATTTAACGCCAAGGAAAATTGAAGATAGAATAGCCATTAATCCAACAGGTCCGCATCCAATAATCACAACGACGCTAACTTGACGAAGTTCAACTTCCAAATGCTCCAAACCATTTTCAGCACAAAAGTATCCAGTTGATAACACATCTCCAAGTAGCAATGCTACATTGTCCGATATATCTGGTAGAACCTTAACTAATGTTGAAGAAGCGAGAGGAACGCGAATATATTCTGCTTGAGCTCCATGAATTCCTTGTCCATCTGATATCAATCCGTATAATTGACCTTTTTCACAACGACACGTTATTCCACGCTCACAATAAAAGCACTATAATATATATATATAATCAAATAAAGCTAATTCTATGATTTAATATGAAATGTAATTTTACTTACGGCACCGCAAGAAGTCGAAAAGGGTGACAAAACACGATCACCAATCGACAAGTTTGTTATTTCATCACCAATTTCATGAATTATTCCAACAAATTCATGTCCCATTATAGTTCCTTTATCAACTCCGCTTTGATCCCCCCTATAGGCTAAAAAAAATTATCGTTCTATTTACATTATATACAAAAATAAGATAAAATAAAATAAAATATTTTTTTCTTACCATGAAGATCCGAACCACACAAGCCACAAACGGTAATTTTCACAATAGCATCAGTTGGTTCAATAATTTTCGGTATGTCTACGGTTTCAACAGCAACTTTATAAGGCTCATTGTATGTTATAGCTTGCATCTTTGAAGTATGAAACAGATTTGTTAATAGCATTTTTGTTGATTATTTGTAAAAAGGGATGTTTCAGTTGATCTGCCATTTGCAGATCATTGAAATAATCATATATAATGAGAGTGCTACCAATCGATTGTGCAACAAACATACGAACATGCCATGCACATTTCGCAATTGTGATGATTTTTTCTGTACAACGGTGATCACGAAAAGCAAAATGTTTCTATTTAAATAAATTCCCCAATGTAAAGAATGTATTGTAAATGCGTCATGCCTTATTCGGAATTATATTGTTATAATCATAAGACTATTTCACTATTGAAACAAAATAGCCCACCTACCTACTGCAATATACTGCAATGCATCCATTATTTATTATACATAAATACGATTAAACCTTGAGAAAAAGAATATTTATCGTTCAAAAAAAAATTTTTTTTTTTCTTTTTTTGTTGTAAGTAATCATGGCCAGCAAATTACCGAATGAGATAATGCTTTACATTTTTAAGTCGATTTTTCGCGAAACAAGGTGAAAAGAAAGAAATTTGGTAGAGAACCAAATTACTTGCGATAATTTATTTATTTTCTTTTCCTTTTCCTTTCTAGTTTTTCTAGATTATTCAAGTTACGAAGAACTTGTAAAAGATGGAATGAACTAATCCCTGTTGTAATTTCTGATGAATTATTAAAAAGTTACGAAAATGGTTGGCTTTTCATGGTATTATAATTTCTTCCAAACTCTGCTCTCCAATTTATTTAATCATTTATTATTTGGTAATTTCCTTTTTTTCTTATTTTTGTATATTAGATCGAAACGGTAAAGGATAGGATTAACATGTGTCCAAATAATAATAAAAAACCCATTGAATCGAGAAAACAAATTTTCTTTACGGATTTCATCAGATATGATTCAACATATCAAACATTTGATTTTAAATTTACCGATGAATCCGAGGCGTTATTTGATAAAAAGAAATGTATTAAATTATGGGTAACGAATTATAGAGTTGGAATTTATTGTTATATTGGTGGTACGAAGGTTACACTCGAGAATAAAAATAATAAGGGTAAATTACAAGATGATTTTTGTTGCTTTGAGGGTAATAATTATGAAAAAAGTTATGGAATTTTACGTGATAAAGGCAAAGTGGATAAATTTCAAATGCAAGATATCAAAGTAAAAGATTCTTTACTTGTGAAAACATTAGAATGTTTGCTGAAGCCAAAATGTTGTAATTAGATAGATTCATTATATAGATTTATTTTTTTTTTTGGTTAGAATTTAAAATAAATGACATTTTTATTATTACTTAGAAGTATTAATTTCAAATTATTGTACAAGATTATATGTAAACAATTTTCCAGAGTTTACGAAAAGTCAACAAATAAGCAGGATCAAAATAGTTTTTATCAATAGATAAAGTTCGAAATGAACGTTTCACCACTGATTTAGCAGGTCCGTAATATAATTCGTGCGCCAATTTCCAAGTTTATCTATCGATTTTGAATTCGCAACACCAAAAAGTTTTTGTTTATGAGACAAATATGAAAATATAAAAACAAAACACTTTTGTTTTGACATTTGTTCCCCTATAAACGAATCAAATGTATGTCTATATGTTTCTTCTGTACACACCTCCGTGAAAAAAAAAAGTCATTTTGACACTACATGTTGCTCCAGCAATAATATCGTTTTAAAACAATTGTTCTCAATGGGGGCAAAACTTTACTACATATCATTTTTTTACAATCCTTCGTACAAGGCCGTCCAACATGAAAGATTACATTGGATATAATGTTGTATTTTAATATAGATCAAGGTTTAGATAATAATACCTCCAACAATTGTTCAAATGCATGATTGGTAATACAAATGGTAACAATAGGATCAATTTTGATTACCCCAATTTAGTACCTTCAATTATAGCAATTTCACGTGTCATAGCAGAGATTGTTACCGTCTTAAAGTAAAACAATGCGAAATAAAGGGTAATCAGGTCCACAAATTCCTACTTTATAAATTACCTTGAGTATCACTGCTTGTTGATGTTCTTTGCCTTGCCTTCAATAAGAATAATGTAGATTACAACTTCATTATTTAATTTTTGATTTTAATGGAATTTATACAATATTAGACAATTAATAAAGCCAGATAAAAAACCTCTAATGAATATGAGGCGGTAAAAGCCTAAACGCTAGCAAATTAATCAATGTTAAACGAGAGGAAGGGGTAGGTAGGTAACAAATTACTAAAAACATGCAAAATGTTACACGGAAAATTTTTATAACTGGTTTAATTACACGTGACCAATTGGTTATAAAAAATAATTTTACTTCCTAGTGAATAGTTGCGTTCGGTTCTAAACACTTTAACTTATATTTTCATTCAATTATGAACCATTCTAGCGCGAAGTTTTTCTCATTTAATTAGATGAATCTTATAGATAATATTTTGAATTTTCAGATTAGATATCTAAATTAATAAATAAATTTTAAAACTCTAATATTTATTTTATTTTTATAAAATTTAAAGCATTATAATTGTTGAAATATTTCATTTATAATTTTTTTTTTTTGATTATTACTTATCTTTTCTTTTATTAATTGAATAAATTTTTGAAATTATGTAAAAAAAAAAAAATTAATAATTATTTTTATTTAATATATAAATTAAAATTACCAAAATATTAAATCATATTTAAAATAATACAATATTAAAAGATTTTAATATTTCAAATAATGGTTTATAAGAAGTATCAAAAACTTATGAGACCTACATATTAAAAATTATATATTTATAATATGAGACCTTTGCAATAGAAAGAAGGGAAACAGCTGAAAAAAAAATCAATTTTACTTTATATGCCAAATATGATTTTTAGGTCAAAATATATTCAGATTTAGCATTAATTCAATTTTTATTTTTTCCAACCATTTTTTCCTTTTCTATTACAAAAGTCCCATATAGTCTTATAGTAATAACCCTTTTTATTTAAGTTAATTTTATAAAAAAAATATGTTTAAATGTTAATACTATAGTTAAAATATATTATTATTAAATTTATATATATATTAAATTAGTTTTTTATAAAATAACTAATAATTAAAAAAGCTATTAACTGAATCAAAAATTTTTATAATAAAAAAATTACAATTTGTAATATATTTTTTAAAAAATTTATCATTAATACAAATAAAAGATAATATTATACCAATTTTTAAATTAAAATAAAATTTAAAATAGAATTCGATTATACTAACACTGGTCAAAATAATTTAAATCAACTAGAAATTGATAGCTAATTTTAGACTGATTTTAATATTATTTATGGCTGATCAATTATATTTTCTGATTATCTTCTGATTGTCTAAATTATCATTAATTAATTCTAATAGATATAACTATTCAATATTAATTTAGAACTTAAATTCAATTATAAATCAGTCTAAAATGCTACTGATCAACTACAATTAGATGAGCAATTCAACTATAAATTAGCATTAATTGACTTCAATTAGATAAGTAATTCAGCATCTATTCAAAACTTAATAATTATAAATCAACCTAAAATTAGTATTAAATTAGTCAAATAAGCATATAAAATCAATACATTTTTATTTAATTAAATTATTAAATATTAAAATTTTATTAACAATAAAAATTTTATATAAATTCACAAAATTATAACAAAATATGAGGTGAGTGCTAGAAAAGGGACTAAATCAAAAATTTTTTCAAAAAATTATTCTAAAGTAAATTTAAATCTGATTATCTGATCTAGTCCAAAATTTTCATTATTTAGAAAAATAATTTTTTGATAATTTGGTCCCTTTTCTCAGCATTCACTTTATATTATTAAAATCTATTAATTAATTTCCTATCAAAAATAAATAATAAAATAATAAAATAATAATATTTTCTCCTAAAATCCTTTGAAACTATTCTAATTATAACATTACCATTATCTAAATATTCTAATAATGTAAAAATAAATAAAAAATTAATCCTTTTTATTAAAATTACATAAAGATAATAAATAAAATAATATAAAAAATAAAAAAATCAACTTCAAAATTATCCTAAAAAAATGTAAACTTAATGTTCTATTCCATTAATTATCCTAAATAATACAATCTTTAGAATCTGATTTTTTCTAAAAATATCAAAAGATAATAAATAAAATAATAAAAAAATAAAAAAATCAAAATTAGAAGTTAAATTATTTTATTTTTAAAAACTAATTTTATTATTATTTGAAAAATAAAATTGATATAAACTGATTATAAATTAAAATTGGTTAAATCAAACAATTTAATTATATTTAAACTGGTTAAACTAATTTAATTATAAAGTATTTATATTTAATTATAATAATATGTAATTTATATGCATCATTTTGATAAGCAAGAATATGATTTTCATAGTTTCTATTTTATTTCATTTTTTTTATTTATTTTTAGCGATAAATATTTATTATATTATTATAATTATTATAATACTAAATATAAAATGTCTATAACAGATAACTAAAAATTATTTAGAACTAGCTGCTAATAATCCTTAATGAAATTTAGATAAATAAATTGAAAAAAAGAAGATAGTAATCTAGTGAGACTGTTGACAACTTTGCTAAATACTTTGCTTGAATTATATTGTAGAGTTGAAATATAAGCATTTCAGTATTTTAATGCTTTCAAGGCTAGACGACTTATTTTTAAATGTTTGCCTAAATTCCATATTCTTGTCAAATTATTCAATGACTAAACTTAGGCAAACACTTTAAATCAAACGAAATAATATACTGTAAACTTATTTATAAGGATACTGCTATTGTTGAAACTTACATGAATAAGTTTATTTCTCTAACTATTACTTTAATTCAAATGAATAATTTAAATAATACTATTGCTACTCTAATATAATAAATATAATAATTAAATATAAACAATAATAACAGAAGAAATAATCAAAGCTATTAAGGTAATCGACAAAATATATAACAATAATACTAATCATACTAATAAAATAATTAGTAAGC